GTGTGTGCCGCAGGCCACACCCAAGTGTTAGACGGCTTGGGCTGCATCTTGCCCAGCTACGATGGAGATGCAGACAGCCCCGGGGCACTCCGGTCCGTCTCACCATTCAGGTCAGCAGGCCTCTGCAACCGATGGTTCCTTGCGCCAAAAAACCACCACAATATTTGGGTCACTTCTGGTTCCGGAGAGTTAGTCACTTACCCCAGGTCAGTTGCAGCTTAGATCTCACCCCAGTGACAACGGTGGTGGCCAAACCATAGGCAGCTGTGTTAACAGGGAAAGGCAAGGAGGGCTCGGACTCACCATTCAGGTCAGCAGGCCTCTGCAACCGATGGTTCCTTGCGCCAAAAAACCACCACAATATTTGGGTCACTTCTGGTTCCGGAGAGTTAGTCACTTACCCCAGGTCAGTTGCAGCTTAGATCTCACCCCAGTGACAACGGTGGTGGCCAAACCATAGGCAGCTGTGTTAACAGGGAAAGGCAAGGAGGGCTCGGAAGGTTACATCAGGCAAACAGACACACAAACGATTTACAGTCTTACTCAGCAAGCTGGGCGGCTAACCCGCACTCAGCAACTGGGGATCTCTTGTTTATGCCTAGAACCCTTGCCCTCCAGAGTCACGGTAGAATGGAGATACTCACTTCCTTCCATTTGCGGGTTTTATTCCTCTCCTGCCATGTGCACTGAGCGCCGGTCCCTTTAAATCACAGCCAGAACCCACACACGCAGCCCGGGTGGTGCTGAAGCCTGGTGCCCCAGCCCACCTTTATGTCCAAAGCCTTGCCCCTTCCCAGGTGTCTGGAGCCGAGTTACACACACACACTCACACTCACACAGCCCAGGGCCTGGCAAAGTCTGTCGCCAGCCCTGCCTGAGCTACAGACTCAGCTGATAGGCAGAATCGACATGCACGACTCGTCTTAGTGGTGGGGGCAAGGCAGACCCACAAAGCCTGTTGTCCCGTTTCAAGTTGTGCAATTTTGTCTATCTGCTGCCAGCGGACAGCACAGAATGCATTTGGTTGTAGATCTCCTCAGCTGACACTTTCCCCCTTGCCTGGCGATAGACACAGCCTTCTGGTCCTGACCCCAGTCATAGCACACAGGCGAGCCACACTGACTCCAGTTACACCTCTGTCAGGGTTCAGGTGCACCATGGGGACCTCAACACAAACCGGGACGTGCTCTGCCAGCATCACACAGCCCAGTGAGGGCAATGGTGGGAACCCTCATCGTGGGAGCCAAGTTAGACAAAGTTCATCCCACGTCAGGGCGGGGCTGGAATAAACGACCTCTAGCGGTCCCTAGAAGTCTGTCTGTGACTCCAATACGGACGTTTTACTCTTGTCAGGGAAGGTTTGTAGGGTTCCAGCCGAGGATCTCAAGTCTTAAGCCTTTCCAGTGGTTTCCTTCTGCGCGTGGCAGGTGCCTGCCTTTCAGCTTCCCTACTCCACAAGTCCCTATTTTTACCCCTTCACGACACGCACTTGAACGATAAGAGGGGCAGCCTTCCGCCTCTAAGACACGGCTTCCTCTGCGGCCCTTATCTCCACACACACAGATAAAGAGCCACTTGGCCTCACTGCCCAGACTTAGCCGTTCTGCAAGAAAGCAGGCAGGCAAACAAGGTTAAGACTTAGAAGCGGCCTCCGGCTCCCAGGGACGTCACCACAGTGGAGCGTTCAGCACTTGGGCAAAGCAGGCCGTTTTCTTAGGGGCTTAGAAGCCAGGCATCAGGCTGTGATTTTTAAGAATCTTTGTCCTCTTTATCCAAAATCCTCTCTTCCCCCCAAGAAGCTGAGCTATGCTGGGTTAGACACGGCAGCATCAGGGAACGACTCAGCGTACAATTTTCCTCCGGTCTTCAAGGTTTTGTCCATTAATCAAGGAGCCATTTCTGAACCTTGCAATCACACCAGACTTACTGAATGGACTGAGGGTTTTCCCCGAATAAAACCCAAGGGACTTTCAGTTGGGTGGAGGTGAATGGTTTAAATACGGCACAAACAGCCCTTCCCTTCCTGCCTCCCCTCCTGCATTTCGACTTCTCACGCAAAGCCTCCCACAAAACTCCTATAGAACAAAATTGGGTATCGAGCCCCTAACAAACCAGCCCTCTGTTCAGTCTGATGTAGCGATCAGCGAGATAAGAATCTGAACAGTAGCTGAATGCATGGCAGCGATGGGATTTAAATGGATCCATATGTTTTGAAGCACGGCAGCTGGAAGGTAAGACAAATTCATTTGGCCCAAACCATTCCACCCCAGCATCGAATGCACCTTTTATTTACTATTGTTAACTTGATCCACCGCAAACTGCAGCTACCTCTTTCGTGGCTGCCTGCTATTCCATCCAGAGCTTCTGGTGACGTCACAAGCCAACCGAACAAAGCTGGATGCACTAGAATGCTGGGAATGATTTACAGATTTTCAGCTGTAGATTGGGGATCAGAAGACATGTGCCCATTCACCATCTTCCACCTTGCCCTGATCCCATGGGTTTCCATGGTCACTCCCTCATGACGCTTCTCCTTCCCCATCTCTTGCCGTCTTCACTCCCATTCCTTACTACCACCGAATTTGGTAGGCAGCTTCCTTGGAGCAGACCTTAAAGTAAGGTCAGAGTTTGGGGGTGCCAGGACAATGGGATGTGCCTAGAATGCGACTGTTTCACATCAGATGGAAAGGGAGGGGTGTGATAGCAGGGAGAGTTATACTCCTGAATGACCCACAGAGGGCAGCAAGCACAGGACACAGCTACATCCCAGTATGCTGACAGGGGGCAGCAAGCACCCCAGGCCTGGCCCCCACCGCCTCAGCCTGCCCCAGGGAGCAGCTGCCAGCTGGCCAGCACAACCCCAAAGGGAGCAGTTTGCACTCCCCACCTCCTGCCTGAGCCCCTCCTCACCCTCCCAATCCTGATTCCTGCACCCACAGATCTCCAGCTCCCTGCCCTGCAGGACTCCAGCAATGCTGGGTAAGTCAGCTAGCTCTAAATATAGCAGTGTTCATTTTCCCAAGCCAAAATCAGTTTGTGTCAAAGGTTTGCCTTTAGCCTCTTGACACGTACTACACAGTGCGGAAAGCACCAGACGGAGTCTGCGACTGATCTTTATGGCCGACAAAGCTGTTCTTTCCATCGCTACTGCAGCTTTAGAGTGAGCTATGCTCTTAGGGCTGGCTGGATAAGGAAAAGCAGAGGCACGTTTCTAAAGAGAATGAGAGGTGAGGGGAGCCGAACCAGTCGAATACACGAGCAGAGAGATTTGGAACCGGTAAAAGGAAATCAGTCTTTCCTGAGTATGTGGGAAG